TCACGATCCTGCATGTATGTGTGTATGTGTGCGTATGTATGTTTGTTTGCAGTTATATGTGTGTGTATGTGTGTGTGTGCATTTGATTCGGGGCTGTTATCTCAGGAAAAAAAAGCTAGGAAGCTGAAATTTTGAAGGAATGCTTTATGCACACGTGGGATCAAAAGTTTTAAACTCAGTTTCCAAGTATGCTTGTTCCTCACGTACGGATGCGTGAAAATTTCGCTAGGAAATTTGCTAAATTAGGGATTAGTATAGGGATCTGAAATTGCAGAAGGATAATCTGCGTCTATCGCAACATCATAGAATTAATTTCAGCTTCCAAATGTGCCGCACGTAGGATGAGAAATCTTGTAACTCAGGAACCAAGTAACATTTCCACTGTTTTTGCATATACGAGTCTGTCAAGCACGAATATTCTTAAAGGCGGATGTCTTCCGCACAAAACTGAGCAAAACGCATGATCCCACTCATACGCGGATCCAGGGCGTTTTCCTGGAGGGAAGAGGCAATTAGGGCAACTTTTCTCCCCCACCTGCCCTCTCCCTCTCGTTCGTTAGTGCATCTGCACCTAGGCAGTGACCAGAGGGGAGGAGGGGGGGAGACAAAAAATAAAGTGGGGCTCCTGGGGGAAAAGAAGGAGGGGGGGAGGGCAACGATAGGTGTCGAAGAGAGTTTTCTTCACTTTTGGCATTACTATCTGTGCCGCTGAGAGGAGGAAGGAGGCCAAAGACCTCGGATCCGCCAGTGATCCCATTAGCTGCTCTAGTGTGCGCCACAATTCACAGTACGTGCTAGAGGTTCAGTCTATACCCTATGAAGGTCTCATCGACTCTCGGAGAGGTACCAGTAGCCTTTCCAACGGATATTTTTTTTCCATTCTATAATTCCTCTGAGAAAAAGGATGGGGGGAAATGAAAAGTGACAGAATTCGCTATTTCACTGTTGGCTAATATGTGCTTACATGACGAAACATTCAGGTTGGCGTTGGATTCTATACAAAGAAAATACGAAGAAGAGCTGAATGATAAGCTTCGGAATCTGACTGGTTGTAGTAATAGTGCCATCTCATCACAAGCTAGTACGTCGGCCGATGTGAGATCCGATGTGCAGCATTCAAGACATAGGTTAGAATTTTCAGTTGTCTTTTTTGCATATACTATTTTTAAAAGCAATACATCTAAATAACGAACTGGGTATGACGCTTAGCAGAACAGAACAAGTAACCTTCACCCGTTACGAGCTGTCTATTGCAGCACTAAACATATCGCTGGCTCTAAAAGCGACACTTTTCTTCTCTTATCAGTTTTGTTAAATAGAAGTATAACATGGAATCCTACATTAGGATAAAAAAAAGATGATGATCCTACGGCCTAAGCTGCCCGTGGTAGGCATCAACAAACTGTAGAAAATCCATAGCGAAGTACTGCAGTTCCGGGGAAGTGCCGGTGATTTTAACAATATACTGTAACCGGTTATAATGCAGGAATGGGAGATAACAAATGGAAAAACTAAACAGTAGCCACAGAGTGCTGAAAGAAGATGGGACATGAATGTTCGGCTGAACGCTATGTAGAATGAGTATAAAATAGGGAAAAATTAAGAAGTAGCAAATTTTGCATCAGTAGCGAGAGGAAACGCGTTGTTGAAACAGCAACTGATCAAAGCATCAGAGCAAAATAAATGCATTTTACTACCGGTGAGTATCCAATATTAATGAGTAACTATCGGCAGAAAACTCACATTGAGCTGATCCACGT